GATGATGCGGGCTGCCTGACGCTTGTCTTCTGGAAGGTTTGCCAGAAGCTCTCCCACAAAGTGTATTGGTATCTACTCATACACGCTAAGTAGTTGGTGGTCTTCACCCCTAGCACTCCCGTAGAGTAGAAACGTCGTCCGAATGCATCTAACTTTCTGCTCTCCTTGTCTGAAGATGCAGAATGGGTTCTCTTCGAATTGGATGAGGAAGTGACTACCATGGAGTTTGGTTGAGGATGGGCAAATAAGAATTTCGCTCCTGTTTCCTGGACTCTATACATATGGTCCAAGCGACGTGTGGACACCAATGTTCCCTCTAAGCTGTGGAGTCTTGTGAGCAAAAATTCTACTTTCTGAGCAACTGGCATTAAAGTTGTGAGCGAGCGATTGGGCTGCTGCACAAATTAGTTTGCTCTGGAGCCCTCCTTCCTGAGCTAAAACAAAAATGTGTGAGCCGGAAGCTAAAAAACTGTGAGCTGGCTCACACTAACTCAGCTTAGAGGGAACAGTGGTGGACACTGGAGCCGATGATGGTTTATCCCATGGAGCTTTAGCTGCCTGTAACAGGACCGTAGACATGTGCTATAGCTATCGATGTATCAAGTTGTACCACATCGAACACGACATCTGTAACCTGTGGTTGTGCTTGTACGACTGAAAGGCCAAGGGAGTGGGCCATTCTTTTTACAAGGTCTCTGTAGGAAGTTAAATTGTCAGATGGAGATATAGGTTGGTCATTGGCTACTGCCTGGTTAGGAGATGGCTGGTCAGGGGAGTTGTGCACATTTGAAGCCTCTGTATCAGAATCCTCATCTACAGAGTCAGAGGAATCGGGCTCTGGTAATTGTACCGGAGTGGTTTTGATCTGACTGGTTGGATCCGTTGACGGTGGGATAGGGGGACTGGGAGGATGATATTGATCCGGTCGATGTCGAGGAGGGCCATCAGATGGATGATCCGGAGGACGGGAGAGAGATGCTGAGGGCCTCAATCTATGGGGTGACCATGATCTGTGGGTAGAGTAACAATCCCAATCAGAGTAACCTGCAGGAGTCAACCATGGCATGGATGCGGGTGGATAAGCCCCATAGAGATAACGCAGTTGGCAGTGATCCCAGGAGAGAGCAGGAGGTGGTGGGGGCAGGAAGACGCGTGGGGATCTACTCCTAGAGCGGGAGTGTCTGGGAGACAGTGTAGCATCTCGTCTCTGTGAGCGGCCCCTATTAGCCCGATCATTGGTATTGAAAGGTCGATCATCAGCAAACAGAGGGTGAGGATGACGTTGAGTGCTTTTAGGGATCTGTCAATGCCGACCCGCATCGATATCGGAATGGAACCCTGAGACTGTCAATGTCGATGACTGAGCAGAGGGAGAGCAATTTGTGCCCAGGGGACGGCTGAAGATCTCAACATTATCGATGTCGGAGAAAGGATGCATATCGACCAGCATGTAATGTTCTAGTTGGTGTATCGGAGAGTCCATTAGCTGGATGGTCAGTATTTTGGACTAGTCACATACTTTCAGCCTAACCAACCTCACAGGGTTGCTGTGCAGATAAAAAGGAGGAGGGAATAATGTAAGCTGCTTTGGTCCCCACTGTGGAGAAAGACTGTAATTTTCCTAGGTAGAGGCTGTGGAGTGGAGGGTAGATGTCAGACTTTTGAACAGACGTACTCTCAACAACACTCTTTCAAGAACTGATCTTTCAAGAACAGCTCTGACAGAACTATGGTAGGGGGAGAGGGGAATTACTGCTCATCTCGAGATTACAGAAATGTAAATATTATTTTTTTTAAAAAAAAAAGCTTAGCTAGTACCTGCAGCACCCAACTTCAGTATCCTCTTTGCCCATTTCCTGTTGCTGTTCTTGAGTAGGTTCTGATGGATTTTCCATTTGCATCTCCTTGAGATCCCTTTTACATCCTTCTAAAAAGTCTCTCGCCTTTTGAACTGGGTTCAATCTAAACCTCTGTTTCTTAAATGTAAGGATCACACCCTCCAGAGGATTTCCCATTTGCATCTCCTTGAGATCCTTATACCTTTCTAAAAAGTCTCTCGCCTTTTGAACTGAGTTCAATATAAATCTTAAATGTAAGGATCATATCCTCCAGAGTCAGTCAGGAAGTCATAATCTTTTCTCTTACATAAGATTCTAATAGGGATTTCTTTCAGAACAATTATATCTATATTGTCAGTTTTTAATCTTGTAGTAAAATGTTGTTGAAGGACTTGGTCCCATCTTCTTTCTCACAAAGTGGACCAGAATATCTCTCAGGACATTTCTTGCTTTGGCAAACCTAGAATTTATTCTATAAACTGTCAGTTTGTGTCTCCATGTCTTCCTCTTCCCGTGCTAAAAAATTTGCCACCAATGAAATGAAATGATCCTTTCCAGGGCTTTATTTGTAGAAAAAGACCAGCAGGAAATCTTTAGCATAATAGGCCACACCCAACAGCAGGAACTCATTAGCATATCAGGCCACACCCCCAACAGCACAGCTCATTAGCATATTAGGCAGCACCCCCATGTTATCAGAAGTGTGGCCGTCCAGCCACACCGACCTTTTGCTTATTGTGTTTACCTTGTTTGTTGTCAAAACCCAGGGCTTTTTTGTAGCAGGAACTCCTTTGCATATTAGGCCATACACCCCTAATGTAGCCAATCCTAATGAGTCTCTGCTGTTGGGTGTGGCCTATTATGCTAATGAGTTCCTGCTGGGCGTGGCAAACTTGGGAGCCAGCCGGAACTCCGTTCCAGCCCAAAAATAGCCCTGATCCTTTCTCTTGTATCTTCATCAGGAACTTCTGGTATAGCTCTCAGTCTCAAACAAAATTCTTCCTCTCTCAATTCCACTGAAGCCAGATTGTCTAGATGTCTCTCCAATTGTCTGTCTGTAGCTTTTTTTATTCTCTAAAATGACAGTCTTGTCACTGATTTGTTTCACCTCTTCAGATGTTTGCCCTATAGATCTAATTTTTAACTTCCTCTTTCATTTCATCTTTAACCTTATCAAGTCTTTCATCTATTTTGTTGCCAAGACTTTCCATTTTACTTCCCATTTGTTCAAATAGTTTTTGAATCAAATCTGATATAACTGTTTTCTCCACAGGTAGGTCTACTGAACCTTTCCTGTCTAGATTTTTTCTTTGAAACCCCCAAGAGGGTAATTTTATTATTTTTTCATAAGACTACATAACTACAATGGAAAGTAAAGGGAGGGACTACAACTAGGGATAAAGAAAAGATACCCACACTACCTAAAAAACCCAAGAGTAGGAGATCACATCCGTGTTAAACTATATGTAAGTAATATACGTGTTAGTATAACAATATACTTGTAAGTTCTTTTTTACTACTGCTTCAGTGTTAGTGAGTTAGTTATTTTGAGAACACTTCTTGAGCATCTTCTTTACTTCAAAGGGCTATTTCTAGAGTCCTTCTGCCCTTACTTCGGTTTTCTCTCTCTAAAAAGTTTTGCTTGCTCCCGCACCCGCTTCACCCACAGAGTCCTCATCCTGTCTGGATTTTTTCTAGTACCCATTGTAAAATAAAATCCAAAAAATAAGCAAATCTTACGAACTTAAGAGTCTTTATAAGTCAAGGACTTTCACTTTGACTCTTGACAGCTTTGTATCACATCACCATAGTAACTGGGGTTGCAATCTGCATTGTAAGCTTATCCTGTTATATAAAAACCCTCCAACTGCACAGAGTCTTTTAGAATTAACAATAAATCAGGCACTTTCACTTCTCACATCTTCATAGCAATGGAGGCTACCTTCTGAGTGATAAGTTTATCTTCTGTTTTGTAAAATTCTCCAATTGCACAGTCTTTTAGAGTAAAAAGGAAATCTCACAGCAGTCTGATCTCCTTAATTTTTTTTATCACATATGCATTTTTGTCAAAAAATAGTTAAAAATAAGGAATAAGAGAAAAATTAATTATCCCCTTGCCTTTCAAATTTCCTCTTTTTGTGAGAAAGTCCACAAATCCTTTAGATAATTTTATAATCTCCCCCCCCCCCAAAAGGTTATCTCACTGCAAAGCACTGTGCCTGTCTTCAAGAAAATCTTTCTCAGTTGTGATAGACCAGGTAGTGAGGTCTACCAAGGTACTGGGGCCTCATATTAACAGTACTAATACCATGACATGCTACACATTAGAAATTACAGTTTATGCTAGCTGTTGACTGAAATTGCTAACTGACCATGGTATCTCAAGCTATTTGCAGGTTTTCTACACAGCAAGTGTATGAAGAAATCAGGATATGCTAACCACAAGCTGCAACAAGGCTTGTGAGCTTGTAGCAAACCACAAGTCTGGTACCAACAATACAGATGCTTACTTAGAAGAAAAGATTTTGGGCACTGGAAATTTCTGAGAAGTGAAAGGTCAAAAGTGCATATATGCTTGCCATTGCATTTTCTTAGCAAAGGTAAATTTATAATTTGGTATAAAGGAAATCAAATTACTAATGATGTAATGGGACATCTGCACATGCCCAAGAACTAACTGTTCTTTAAGAACTAACTGTTAATACAAAGCAATAGACTCTTTGGGTCCTTTTGTACCCAGGGGGTCTCACTTCATTGCAATAAAGGTTTTGGTCTGCTTTTGGAAATCCGGACTGACTGTGTTCATTATTGGGCTTTGGCACACCAGGCGAAGGACCTATTTGGGTAACAGTTGGGCTTAATGTCCACATGAAGGCCTCATAAAAGCTTTTGCAACAACAAATTTCTTAGTTGTTAAGGTTACAAAAGATTTTTGTTGTTCTGGCTGTAACAGATGAACACAGCTGTTACCCAAATAGGCAGTTTCCTAATTAGTTGGGGTAATTAGCTTTAAGAAGACAGAGTGAGAGTGGTAACTGGGACTTTCCACCTACGTATACAAGTATTTTTCCTTCAGAGAACTCTCAAATAAACCAGGCAGATGTTCAGTTCAACTGGAAAGGTTTTTATTAAAAAGAGAAAGAATAAAACAAAATGCACAGAAACAACACACATACAGGAGTTAACTAATAGAAACACAGGGAGAAGAGGGGGACAGTGATTTTAGGGGAGGGTGATAATTACCAATCTTGAAAAGGTCAGCAGAAGCAGCAAAACAACCAGTGTTTTGAGAGAGAAGAAAGACCAACAAAGTGGGTATGTATGTGCAAGATCCAAGACACACATGCACACTGCTGGGAAGCAGGGTGCTCCAGATATAGGGCAAAACATACCCTCAAGCGGGTGACATGATGCCCGAAAAATAACTTAATGGGCTTTTCTGAGGTGGACAATAGTGTTGGAGAGATTTGATGACCCTGCAAATACCAGGCAAGAAGGGCTAATGGGTTAGGTGAATAGAATTAAGTGCTGATCACATTGCTGCTTAATCAAGGTAAACAGGTACAGCAGAAGTAAGGTTGGGTGTTGATGGGATCAGTACAAAAGTTTTGGGAGACCCATTGTCCTAAATTATGCATCTCTCCAAAGCATGGAGGGGGCAGTAGACAGTCAGCTGCTCTTACACTTCTAAACTACTTGCCTTGGCTTGTTCCTGACTTGCATCCATTTTGTTCATTTTGGGCCAGACAGTGTCATGCACTTATGAATTTTGGGGTGATATTTTAAGAAGGATGTTTACTGTTATTCTAGCTATAAACTGCCCCTCTGCAAGAGGAGGGGTCTGACTGCTAACACAACTAGAACTCTGTTCAATCGTCATAATAGATTAAGACATTACATATAAATGCAGTTACCATTCAGGTCCAAATTTAGCCATTTCCATGATTATGCATTACATTCTGAGTGTGGCCCAAACGATAAAACGTTCTCAGTGGTTTGAGAGCTGTTTCCCCATGCTGTAGTCCCATTCATAGAATACCAGAAAAACCAGGGGGGCTGTTTTGTGGGTCCTTCCCTACCATCACCAAGCAGTGCAATGAACTGGTGGGAGGTGCAAATTGGCTCCACCCATATGATTCTGGTACATACCTGCCCCCACACATAAGAATGGGAGCCTTTTATTGATGATACAGTCTCAAAGGGAAGAGAGATCTTGCCACCAAAAGTAATTCTAACATGAAAGAATATAAGAATGTTTACAAACACACACACTACCTAGAAGGGCAGATAAATCCTCCTAAGGTAGGCAGAATGTAAGTTACAGGGCAACAGTGACTTGATTCACACAGTGGGAAGGAACACTGAAGTGATATCCTATTGGTTCTTTATTATGGGGGTGGTTATTAGGAAATATGTACTAGAGACCTTTGCCTTTTTCATACGCAGCAAAGACTATGTTTAATACATAAAGGGGGCAAATGCCACAGAAGACTATTTTGCATAAAGCAAGAGAAACCTTGCGGGGTCTTCCTTGTAGCTCTCTTGCTGTCTTCAATAAACCTCTCCCTGCCTGCTTCTAGGCCTCGTGTTACCTCACACAGCTCTCCGTATGGCTGCTTTCTGTCCTGGCAATTGCCTCTTTACACTCTCTTCTGTTTATGTAGCATGTCCCTCTTTCTCCCAGGAGAGGACAGGCAAAGCTGTTTATAAGGAAGGACAGAACTTCTGCTCTCTATTGAAGCCCCTCCCCTGCAAGTACCGGGCCTGCCTGCAAGTGATCAAAATGCTGTTTCTCTTCCACATCTGAGGGGAATTCTGATGTTTTGAGGGGGATGGAGATAAATTGATTCCAGGTTGTCCTGTTATGAAATAAGTCAGAAAAAGGTTTTAAAATGTTACTAAAAATTTAGTTTAAGTTAGTGTTGAACTGAAACACTTCCCTAGTACCATATACAGTACTTTAAAAGCCATTTTCTAAAGCATATTGAACAGTGAGAAATGTGCAACATAAAAAATGTACCCAGAGAGATTTTACTGGGCACCAATTTTCCTAGTGTTTTGGTTTTTTGTTTTTGTTTTTTTAAAAACACCTTTGTTTTGATACTATGACACTTTTTGTGGAAACACTCTACTGGTTTTACGTACATGGGGAGGACGCAATTCTCTGTGATCATTAGTTTTCTTTATATTAGACACAATTTGGCTTTTAGAATGCATCAATGCTAAGGTTAACTGTATCAACCCAATCACAAATTTAAAAGCCTTGCTTATGCTATTATCAGTAAGAGTACACCTGATTTTAATTATGTATACAGAGATCTGTGAAAATAGGCTGAGCTTTCATTTGTTTATCCTTAACCTACCATCAGTACAATCCGTATTATTATTGGGCCAGGGTGTTGATTCATACTACTGCATTCAATTCAAGTGTGTGAATTAAGTAGCTAGAAATATTTTCTCCAGCAAGGCACAATAACTATCAGAACAACTCTGTCCAAGCTTGTGCCATGTTTCTGGTTTATTACTGACCCTAATCCAGAGCTCAACATGTCTTCTGGTGTGTCTGCATGAGTGACCACCCTCACTCAAGGGGGGGGGGCAGTTCAGAGCGTACAGGGAAGTCCTATATGGGTTTGTATGCAAAGGACAATACCAACATACTTCAAATATTCATATAATCATCCATGGAGATCCCCTAGCCTGATCTGTCAAATTCAAGATAAAGAATATCCCTTTTTTTCTTGGGTACAACTGCAGAAGCAGTTCTCAGAGGTGTATTACTAGGAGTTAGAAACTTCAGACAGAGGTTTGTATCCATATTAGAGAAAGTAACAGGTTTAAAAATAGGAGCTCTGATGAGGTAAGCACACATCTGAACCCACATTTTGTGCTAATGTTTTGAAAGAAACAAGAAGTTAGCCAAATATGGTTACATAAGTGGTTTTCAAAAATTGTACATAATTCTGGAGGCTTTGGTTCTGGTTTTCTGATTTTTGGAGACTGTGTTCTAGTTCCTTCAAGCATACTTCACGATGTTTTTCACTCTGAAAAAACAAAGAAAGATTGCATTAGACCCAAATGTTCTGTGACAACAAACTAGAGACAGCCAGAGTGAACCACCTCACAGGAACAACCTAATTTTTTGCCAATTTCATTCTGAAGTAACTGTAACATCCTCATACCACTGCAGTGTCAGAACTCCTGCAGATCTTTTTTTTACAGCTGCACCTGTAACCAATTTAAATTACATTTTTGGTACCGAAGGTGCTTGTTAAAACAAAGTGATGGATAGCAGGTTTATTAGAGCCATTCATAATTCACCATCCCTATAAAATATACACATTCTTAAGATTTACTTTTATGTTTATTAGAACATAATCTTAAAAATACATGTGGTTAAAATAAGTGTCAAAGCTGTCACAGAATTTTTAAGTACTGGCTATATTTTTCTTTGCAATATTAAACTCCTGGTTAAAAGTATTCAAATAAATGACTTCCTAGGGGCCTGTTTTCAAATCGTAACACCCTATAACATTAGTGCACTAAGGAGTCCTGAGTCTTGTTCATAAGTATTTACAGTTCATTGCCATTTCCAGCAACATCAGCTCACCAGGAGTAGAACAATATGTTCCATATTTCTGCCTTTTCATAATATATTCCCAGTTTGTGTGTTTATATGTATGTATAGAAAACCAACTGCAGGAGGAGAACAATGAATATGTTCTGGGTTGACTATGACACTCTACTCATGCATGAATAATATTAAATACTTATTTTTAACTGTCAGTTTAAGTAACACTGAAGTGGAAAATGCTTAAAATGTAATATAGCAGCAATGACACATGAAGGAGAAATAATTCTACTGAAGAATAAGTACAAAGGGAATTAATATCTAAAAGCAATGACTCTACAGCCATATGCTTAGTTTTACCCTCAGGTAGGATGCTTGGACCCCCTCATGGATCACTGCCTTGTCGTGGCGAGGGGGCTTGCGCAGTTCAATGAAGCTGTGGGCTATGCCGTGAAGGGCCACCCAAGACGGACAGGTCACAGCAGAGAACTCAGACCAAGCGTGATCCACCTGGAGAAGGAAATGGCAACCCACTCCAGTATTTTTGCCAAGAAAACCCCATGGACAGTATCAAAAGGCTAAAAGATATGACGCCGGAAGATGAGCCCCTCAGGTCGGAAGGTGTCCAATATGCTACTGAGGAAGAGCAGAGGGCAAGTACAAGTAACCCCAGAAAGAGTGAAGCGGCTGGGCCAAAGCCGAAAGGACCCTCAGTTGTGGATGTGTCTGATGGTGAAAGGAAAGTCCAATGCTGCAAAGAACAATACTACATAGGAACCTGGAATGTAAGATCTATGAATCAAGGTAAGCTTGACGTGGTCAAAAATGAGATGGCAAGACTGAACATCGATATCCTAGGAATCAGTGAACTAAAGTGGACAGGAATGGGCGAATTTAACTCAGAAGACCATTATATCTACTACTGTGGCCAGGAATCTCGTAGAAAAAATGGTGTGGCCTTTATAGTCAACAAGAGAGTGCAAAAGGCAGTACTGGGATACAATCTCAAAAATGACAGAATGATTTCTGTCCGATTCCAAGGCAAACCATTCAACATCACAGTAATTCAAGTGTATGCCCCAACCACTGATGCAGAAGAGGCTGAAGTAGACCGGTTCTATGAAGACCTACAACACCTCCTAGAACTAACACCAAAAAATGATGTCCTCATCATCATAGGGGACTGGAATGCTAAAGTAGGAAGTGAAAAGGTAACTGGAATAACAGACAAGTTTGGCCTTGGAAAGCAAAATGAAGCAGGGCAAAGGTTAACAGAGTTTTGTCAAGAGAACACACTGGTCATAGCGAACACCCTTTTCCAACAACCTAAGAGGCGACTCTACACATGGACATCACCAGATGGGCAACACCGAAATCAGATTGACTATATAATTTGCAGTCAAAGATGGAGAAGCTCTATCCAGTCAGTAAAAACAAGACCTGGAGCTGACTGTGGTTCAGATCATGAGCTACTCATTGCAAAATTCAGACTTAAACTGAAGAAAATCGGGAAAACCATGAGGCCATTCAGGTTTGACCTAGATCACATCCCTGATGAATATACAGTAGAGGTGAAGAATAGATTCAAGGGTCTGGATTTGATAGATAGAGTGCCTGAAGAACTATGGACAGAGGTTCGTGACATCGTACAGGAGGCAGCAATCACCACCATACCAAAGAAAAAGAAATGCAAGAAAGCAAAATGGCTTTCTGATGAGGCTTTACAAATAGCAGAGGAAAGAAGGAAAGCGAAAGGCAAAGGCGAAAAGGAAAGATTTACCCAACTGAACGCAGATTTCCAGAGAACAGCAAGGAGAGATAAGGAGGCCTTCCTGAATGAACAGTGCAAAGTAATAGAAGAAAACAATAGAATGGGAAGGACTAGAGATCTCTTCAAGAAAATTGGAGAAATCAAGGGAGCGTTCCATGCAAAGCTGGCCATGATAAAGGACAAAAACGGTAGGGACCTAACAGAAGCAGAAGAGATTAGGAAAAGATGGCAAGAATACACAGAAGAACTATACAAGAAAGACCTCAATGTCCTTGACAAACACGACGGTATAATCACTGACCTTGAGCCAGACATCCTGGAATGTGAAGTTAAATGGGCCTTAGAAAGCATTACTAACAACAAAGCTAGTGGAGGTGATGGTATTCCAGCTGAGCTATTCAAAGTCTTAGAAGATGATGCTGTTAAAGTTCTGCACTCCATTTGCCAGCAAATTTGGAAAACGCAACAGTGGCCACAGGATTGGAAAAGATCAGTATACATTCCAATCCCAAAGAAGGGCAATGCCAAGGAATGTTCAAACTATCGCACAATTGCACTCATATCACACGCTAGCAAGGTCATGCTCAAGATCCTACAAGCTAGGCTTCAACAGTACGTGGATAGAGAACTACCAGAAGTACAAGCTGGGTTTCGAAGAGGTAGAGGAACTAGAGATCAAATTGCCAACATTCGCTGGATTATGGAGAAAGCAAGAGAGTACCAGAAAAATATCTACTTCTGCTTCATTGACTATGCTAAAGCTTTTGACTGTGTGGATCACAACAAACTATGGCAGGTCCTTAAAGAGATGGGAGTACCAGACCACCTCACATGTCTCTTGAGAAACCTGTATAAGGGCCAAGAAGCGACAGTTAGAACCGGATACGGAACAACTGATTGGTTCAGCATAGGAAAAGGAGTACGACAAGGATGTATACTGTCACCTTGCTTATTTAATATATATGCAGAGTACATCATGCGAAATGCTGGCCTGGATGAATCACAAGCGGGAATTAAGATTGCTGGGGAAAAGATCAACAACCTCAGATATGCAGATGATACCACTCTAATGGCTGAAAGTGAAAAGGATCTAAAGAGCCTCTTGCTCAGAGTAAAAGAGGAGAGCGCAAAAGTGGGCTTGAAGCTCAACATCAAAAAAACTAAGATCATGGCATCCGGCCCCATCACTCCTTGGCAAATAGAAGGGGAAGTCGTGGAAGTAGTGACAGACTTCACGTTCCTGGGATCCCAGATCACCGCAGACTGTGCCTGCAGCCATGAAATTAAAAGACGCCTGCTCCTTGGGAGGAAAGCGATGGCGAACCTAAACAGCATGATAAAAAGTAGAGACATCACCCTGCCAACAAAAGTCCGCATGGTCAAAGCAATGGTATTCCCAGTAGTCATGTATGGCTGTGAGAGTTGGACTATAAGGAAGGCCGAGCGCCGAAGAATAGATTCTTTTGAACTATGGTGCTGGAGAAGACTCTTGAGAGTCCCTTGGACTGCAAGAAGAACAAATCAGTCAATCCTCAAAGAAATCAACCCTGACTGTTCCCTGGAAGGCCAGATAATGAAACTGAAGCTCAAATACTTTGGCCACCAAATGAGAAGGGAGCACTCACTGGAAAAGACCCTGATGCTGGGAAAGATTGAAGGTCAAAGAAGACGGGGACGGCAAAGGATGAGATGGTTAGACAGTGTCAGCGATGCAACGAACATGAAATTGAGCCAACTTCGGAGGACGGCGGAAGACAGGAGAGCCTGGCGGGAGATTGTCCATGGGGTCGCGAAGAGTCGGACTCGACTGTGCGACTGAACAACAACAGGATGCTTGGAAATGGTTGAAGCTTAAAGTAATTTAAGATATATGGGAAAAGTTACAGATCATTTTAGAAGCAGTGAAATCAGAATTAGATTCCAAAGGATAAGAAGTCAAAAAGCTAAAGACATATTAGTGGAAAAATATGGTTAAGTGCACAGCTGTTGAAACTTGCAGAAGCATGAATTAAACTGAAAACAGTTTTGCTTTCACCAAACTGAATGAGCCATTTTAGTGCAAAATATATATACACAAACTCAGGACTTTAAGTTTTCTATTCGGTATCCTCTGCTATTGCGGTATAATCATAATTAGACATGCACAGCAAGATAGAGAGACAAGTACCACTCATCAGTCCCTATAAAATTAAAATGGATGACCCACACTAGATCACTAGAGTAACTAAACATGGTTGCCAACAAATAAAAAGGTTTCTCAATAAGCAAGAGACACCCCCCAGATATATATGAAAATATAACCCTTTCTTCAGCCAAAAAAATGCACCCCCCCAAAACAAAAAAACAAAAAAACAACAGCCAGAATGAGGACTATATATGAGTTTGTACTTCCCACTGCTATGGAACCCATGTGGCAGAGAATAACTGAAGCAAGTAGTTTGTCACTGCTTTTCATCCAACCAACAGCCTGATGTGGCAGGGAAACTGCCAGGTGAAGAGATACAAGGGGAACTAGCTGTTAACCTTCCCCTCCAATCCCAGTACTATACAACAGATTCCTTATGAGGCTAAATTTCCCCCATTTTAAAGGAGGAGGGGGCTGTTTCCAGAGTGGAGAAACAACAATCCGACTCTTAAAGAAGTTCAAACTGTTTGTTGCAAGTCTCTATTCCCCCCCCCCCCCCCCCCCTTCCAACCAAGAACACAAGGAACAAATATTAACCCAAAGATCTGGAAAAGGAGTGGAACAGGAAACAGACTCCAGTGTGAGTATAGTCTTTAACATGCAGCTTAAAAAAAAAAAAATCACACTTTTATCCGAACCTGAAGAATTTAGAAAAGGCAATTTATACAGTGTTACCCCACTACATCCTTATGAAAACTGAAGTAAGTGAGAGAAAGGGACTTTCAAGGCTTTGGTGGGATTTTACTTCAGGTGCCCGGATCCGAATCCACCACTCTCCACACTTGGCACTACCAACTGTAAGTAGCTTGCAGTGCTTGGAGAGATAGTAAGGGATACAGCCTGCTACTCTGGAGATTTCTCCTTCACCCAAAAGATTAAGATTCCCAACTGGAGATTAAATAATATGCCAGTACATTGAAGAACATGCATGGAAGCCGTTGCAAGCCCTTTGGTAGTCTTCCTCTACTACAGACTACCTCTGCTACACGTGGTAATAATAGTTCTGATTCTTTGAGTTCAGATTTGGAGATTTCAAAGCCAATTCTGAGAGATACAAACATCAAATGAAGTATATTTATTTAGCTTATTTATAGCCCACTGTTCTCACTGAGACTTGAGGTGGATTGCAGAGTAAAGAAAAAAGAGATCATATGGCATAAGACATTCCAACCAGGTCTCTGCCATACAAGCTGGTCATTTTATCCTCCTCCACTAACCTCAACAGGAGTACAGTTTTATGTCTTACAATGGGGTGGGGGGGGGGATGGGAGACCTACCCACTTCTCTTGGAATGAGGCAATCAGCTAAATTGCTGCCAAAGCTTTGGAATTCTACAACACACGCATACACTTGGTAGGTGTTCAGACGCAAAAGAACAGCACAATGATCTGGGAGAAGCAAGGCCAGCTAGCATTGTACTGAGAACCAGAGGGTGTTGGCTTGAATTTAGAAGGTGGTATGCACTAGAAATCACATTGAGTGTGTTGCACCATATATGCATATTTTAATCTGGCTAACAAAGAAAAGGGAGGACATGGGGGGGCTTACAGGCTATAGGTCAAATGTCCATTGGCTAGATGGCCTGCAATCACAAAGCAATACCCCCCTCCCCAAATATCTACTCACATTATTCAATTTTCTAGCTAGTTGTTTATGTTCTTCTTTTTTCTGTCTTAGTTCATTTTCTAGATCCAATATTTTCAACTGGAGGACCTGCTCTTTAGATGAAATTTTTTCTACCTCTTCTGCTAGCTGTGGAAGAGAGATTAACCCTAGATCATACACTCAAACAGATAGATCAGTGGATAAAAATAATGGCTTAATAGTGTTATTTTATTATGACTACTTCAGCTATTTTGTGAGAATTACAAAACACCAGCAAATCTTTCTACTAGTAATCTGTCCCTACAGTATCATAGATCTGACTTGTTCTGTGGTAGATTTTCAACACAAAACTAAAAACACACACAACCCCCCCCCCAACGACTGTTTTTTCCTCGACTACCATTCTCCTAGTGAATTGTACTGGTCATGTAATGATATGTATCTACCAGTCCTTCAGGACACACTACTTCCATATGGCTACCTAATATTGTGTGTAGGGACAGAGATCTCTCTTTAACACAAGGACTATTCAGATAAGTGTCTACAACTCATCTGACAGCTAGGTCAAATGCATGCCTCAGACTTTGTGGAAAAGGCAGACATGTTACATTTTCTGTGGCCATTTTCTGTCTGCTTCCTTATACATATTTGCCAAACATAAGCATTCAAATTAGCACACAAAGCAACCGTGTATAATCATCATAGCAAAGGGGAAAGTTCTTATTTGGATTAATCATGTTGACTCAAATTGCTCGGTCATGCTTCCTTTCTCACTAGCAGTTCTTGGTGAAATGCTATTAGTTTATGTTAAGAAAATAAATATGCAAATTACTTGTAGGTAAAGTGGCTTCTGAAGTGAGATGCAACAAAATACGAGTGGCTCACGCTTCCTCTTACCATGCTTCCATGTCTTGTCCAAACCCTGGATATGCACATAACTTCTTGGTGTGGTGCAACTTTTCTAATTATGTCATAAGAAGAGCCCTGCTGGATCCCACCAAGGGTACATCTAATCCACGGTGGTCAACTAGTTGCCACTGGAAAGCCCACCAACACTGCATGGAAGCAACAGCCTTCTTCTGCTATTTGTCCCCCAGCAACTGATACTAAGCAGCACACTGACCCTGAACATGGAGGTTCCATTTAGCCATCATGGCCAGTAACTGTTGATAGACCTATCCTGTTGTCCAAGACCAGTGGGGTCGTTGGATAATTTGAAAAACGAACCTATCCTCTGTGAATCTGACAAGTTTCCTTTTAAAGCTGGCAGGTTTTCTTTTAAAGCTATCTAAGCTAGCAGGCAACAAACCTTGTGGTAGTGAATTCCATAACTAATTATGTGTTGTATGAATCTGCTACTCATCATTTTCATTGGGTGATTCTGACATCCAGTATTATAGGAGAGGGAGAAAACATTCTTGTCATGTCTTTTAAATGGTGATTTTATAAACCTGTACAGATGAGTTTCACTTTATATGAGAGCTTTTTATCTAAAACTGTCTCCATTCAGTTCAGGTAATTTTGACTGCACCACTGTAAGAATGCTTTATCCTAACAGTTTCCCACATGGAGCAAGTCCCTACATATTTGCAAGCTGCTGCCACACCATCAATCAAAGTATGACTCCAGCCTAAGATATATATCAGCTCAAGGTACTCCTTTCTGGTGCTTAATCAGAGCCAGAACTAGCCCAGGAACGAATTTTCAATACCAGCCTCTCCCTCACCTCCAAATATATAATCAGTGAGTAATCAGTACTTTGGGGAAAGCATTTCCAGGAGAAATGGTATGATTGAACCAGGGAATGTTTCACCTTGCTCTTCCCCATTAACAAAAGACGTGTGCTGCATGCTGAGAACCATGCAGATTGCCTCTTGCATGAGTCCATAGACACATGAACTTGCCAGATCAACAGACTGAATATTGTATATCTGAATCAAAAATTCAAAACGCTACCCTTTTCCGTCCATCTTCCAAGGCAGCTTCTAGTTGTCTGGTCAAAGCACTGTAACTCGCAAGCTTCTGCTTGAACTGCAATTCAGTTTTCTGAAGATTCTCTTCCTGGTTCGCCAGCTGATTTTCAAGTCCTTTGTTTTGTAATTCCATTTCACCTAATTTTCTTTTAAGTCAGACAGATATATAACATCACCACAGAATAGGACGGAAAAGGAAATACTGAACGGTGAGAGGAGGAATCATGTTTACCTTTGAACTTCTTCATATTTCATCTGAATGGTGTAGTTTTCATCTTCCAAAGAATGGTGTTTCAAGAAATCATCACTGTTGTCTACCTGTGAAAACAGTGGTTCTAACATATCTAACAAAGCAGCATACAGAAAACTGAATTTCTATCAAACCCAGTCCCGTGTACTCCCTTTGGAGCAACATCAGCAAGGCGAACCCATCATCCAGACCAACTGAATTTGGTCGGTTTGATTGATCACATGGAGGGAGAGTTATTAGGGGAGGTGATCTGCACTGTTCCTCCACAATAATATGGCAGATTTTGTCCCTGATGAATATGTGACTTATGTCTCTGAGTTACTCTTTCACAGGTAAAAATATAACTATAATAGGAGTAAGGAACGCAAGACCAAAACCTGGATGGCATGAAAAATTAAGCTCTTACAAAAATGATCATTTGACATCTTAATTTGCTAATGCTGCATTATTTCTAGAAGCTTTACTACATAGCGAACAAGAATGCCTTGCAAACCAAAATAACAACAGACAGTTTTAACTGGGTTCCTACCTTTTATAGATGCTATTTAGAGAGAAGATATACAGGGTATTTTAGAACAAATGACTAAAGGGGATGGGGCGAGCTTTTCTTTAAAAAATACATCAGAGCTTGTAGTCTAACCACATTCAACAAAAGTTGACGAAGCTTCCATTCTGAAATAGCTGTATTTAAGGAGAAAGTGTCTGTACTCAAGCACACTCCTTACTTGCAACTAGAGTTCTTTGGAAACAATAACATTCATGAAAGCTGCCTTAAGCTACACCAGTTCCCCTTTAAAGCCAATTTGGCCCTGGTTAATATATTAACTGCAGGCCAGTGATAAGTATAGTCCCTCAAAAAGTATAGTCCCTCCCTTTCCCCATGCAGATAAGTTCTTGTGTGAACGGTGCAACCAATGTCAATGTCCAGTCACATAGCGACTGGTTCGCTAAACTTTACAAATGCAATGCAAGGTATGCAGCCCAATACCATGCAAGTTTAGACCGGATTAAGATGCACTGTATTCAGTTATACTTATTGACTTCACTCAAATGTTGCAAACAAACCTGTTTGTTCATACCAAGCCTGAGTCACGCTTGTTGCTATGTTGGCACACCAGGATCTGCTCACTGCCCAAGCAACGCAACGGGCAGAGGGATGGCACCCTTGAGGCTTGTATCTGTCATTGCCTCCAGATCCATGGTGTTCCTGCCTTGGCCAAGGTACCTGCAGAGACTGCAACCTACTTTACAGCCAGCCTTCCCTGCTATACTCAGGCAGAGCTGGTCTTCTTCTAACCAGCCATGCAAAGAAATCGCTGTGCCAAAAGGAATACGGAAAGAAATTCCTATGTGAACCCCTCTCTTTGGCACACATCCCAGCCCTGTATGGAAAGGGCTCACAGTGTCTCGGGCACACGATGTGAACACCCTAATGCTCTGCCCACTCTCTTGTTGCATGGTGTAATGTATTCAGCCTGACATGCCCGGACTTGCCCGGGCTGGCCAGGCACAACTCTTCAATAGCTTCATGTCCAAAGACAATGGGTCCGTAGGATCCTAGCCGGCCCAATCAAAGGGCCAGCTTCTCAGCCGGGAGACCAATGGTCGCCCGGTTACTGTAAATAGCCTATCGGGAGTAGGGGGTGTGTTTAGGTGTACTTGGTGGCGGGTTTTCTGAACCTATATAACCAGCCTGCGAGCTGGTCCCTTCGTCTTTGTCCTGAACTAAATAAAGGTATGCTTAGCTGAAATCACTCTCCGTCTGCATACTTTTCACTGGCGACGAAGGTGGGATCCACGACCCCATGAACAAAGACCCGGACGCCAACGCGAGCACCGCACCGAGCCCCGACGCCGAGACCTCCGGGAACCGCGCCGCTTCGCTTCCCAGCTCTCCGGCAACCGCTCATCGCGCAGCTCCCGGCTCCGCTTCGCTCCCTGCTGACCCCGAGAGCAGCAGCGGCCTCCACAACGCTCCCGACGCCATCGCCGTTCCAGAGGCCACCCCACCACGTGGCGACAGTACAATGGCGACCGCGACCGCAACAGAAAGCCTGCCCGCTTTCGATCTCTCCCAGCCCTCGCTGTGGGACACCTGGCTGGACACGCTGGAGAGCCGCTTCACCATCCACAAGGTGGTGGATGACGCGATGAAGAAGGCTTACCTGCTGAGCCACTGCGGAATCCAGACCCATCGGCTCCTCAAGGACTTAATCTCGCCCAAACTAACGAAGGACGAGTCATACAGCTCCTTAGTCCAGGCCCTGACCGACCACCTGGCTCCCAAACCCACGAAGTACGTGGAGCGGTTGGACTTCTTCGCAAGAGTTCAGGCCTCCGGCGAAACCACCTCCGATTTTCTGGCGGCGCTGCGGAGCCTGGCGACCCGGTGCTCCTTCCCCAGCCTCGACGATACCCTCCTGAACCAGTTCCTCGTCGGACTCCGGGAGCCGAAGCTGCAGAGGAAACTGGTGAGCCAGAACGATCTGAGCCTGGACAAGGCCATCCGGGAGGCCTCAGCATACGAACAAGCGCGACAAGACCGCCGCGCCAAGGCGGTCCACCGTACCCAAGTGAGCAGCGGCTCCGACGTCTCGGACCAAGAGGAAGTCCTACAACTCCGACAGCGGACTCAGCAGCGATCAAAACACGTATCCTCCAGGACCTCCAAGGCCCCGTCTCCAAGTCAGTGCGCCAGCTGCGGGGAGGATCACGAACGCAGGTCGTGCCGTTTCCGGAATGCGGTCTGCCGTTCCTGCAACAAGGCAGGACACATCGCCAAGGTCTGCCGGTCCAAGGGACAACGACCGAGATCGGCCACCCACCAGACCACCGCGGAACTGCCCCTGGAGCTCCACACCGTGTCGTCCCACTTTCCACAGCACCAGGTCTGTAACCTGCCCCCCGACGGCCCAAATAAAATGCATGTGACGGTCCTCATAGAGGGAGCCCCCTGCACCATGGAGATCGACACCGGGTCGACCTACTCCATAATATCCGCGGACACGCTCCGTGCACTGTGTCCTCGGGGGGGGCCACCACTACAGAAGTCACGGGGTTTCCGGTTACGGGACTTTAACAAAAACCCCGTGGCGGTGGTGGGCTGGGGCAAGTTCCGGGTCCAGTTTCAGGGTTTCAAGGGCCAACTGGACCTACTGGTTGTGGACCGGCCCCTCTCCAGCTTGTTGGGACTGGCCTGGTTCAAGGCCCTGGGGCTCTCCGTTACGGGCATCAACCAGGTTGGAGCGCAGGATTTCGGGGCGGTGTGCGCAGAATTTCCCCGCATCTTCGATGGGACCCTGGGGCGGTACACGGGCCCTGCCATTTCCCTGGACCTAGACCCCGCGATACGCCCCATCCGCATCAGGGCCCGGCTGCCCCCGATCTCCATGAGGCCGAAGGTGGAGGCCGAGCTCGATCGCCTAGTTGAGCAAGGCGTGCTAGAACCGGTGGCGTCGGCCCGGTGGGAGACCCCCATTGTCACACCACTCAAGCCGAACGGGGACGTCCGCATCTGCGCGGACTATAAATGCACCATAAACAAAGCCCTGCAGCCCCACGCGTACCCGGTGCCGGTAGTAAGCCAAGTGCTGGCAGCCCTGGCAGGGGCTCGGGTGTTCGGCAAACTGGACTTGGCCCAGGCGTACCAGCAGCTACCGGTGGACGCCGCCACGGCCGAGGCACAGACCATTGCGACCCACAAAGGGGCCTTCAAGGTGCACCGCCTCCAGTTCGGGGTCTCAGTCGCGCCGGGGATCTTTCAATCTTTTATGGATTCCCTCCTTAAAGGCATCCCCGGAGTTCAGCCGTTTCTAGACGACGTGCTGATCGCCGCGCCAGACCCCTCGTCCTTCGCAGACCGTCTGAGGGCCGTTTTACAACGCTTCGACGCGGCGGGCCTCAAGGTGAAACGGGAGAAGTGCCTACTGGGGGTGCCGCGGGTGGAGTTTCTGGGCTTCGCGGTGGACGCCGCCGGCCTGCACCCCTCCCAGGACAAGGTAGAAGCCATCACACACGCCCCGGCCCCGAAGTCCAAAACGGAGCTACAGGCGTTCCTAGGCCTGGTGAACTTCTACCACTCCTTTTTGCCCCTGAAGGCGGCCGTCGCGGAGCCGCTCCACCGCCTCCTCGACAAGTCGGCGCAATGGGCCTGGGGGCCACCACACGACGCAGCTTTCCAAACAATAAAGGACCTCCTGGTCTCTAATGCGGTCCTCGCCCATTTTGACGAGGCCCTTCCCGTGGTACTGGCGTGCGACGCTTCCCCCTATGGGGTCGGGGCGGTCCTGGGGCACAGACTACCGGATGGTCGCGAGGTCCCGGTGGCCTACTACTCGCGGACACTGTCGTCGGCCGAGCGCAACTACGCGCAGATCGACAAGGAGGCGTTGGCAATCGTGGCAGGGGTGAAAAAATTTCACCACTACTTGTACGGCCCCTGCTGGGCCTCCTCGCACCCGACCGGCAGACACCGCAGATAACCTCGCCCAGGGTGCTACGCTGGTCCATCTTCCTGGCGGGGTATGCGTACGACCTCGTCCATCGGCCCGGAAAGGCGATGGGCCACGCCGACGCACTGAGCCGCCTGCCCCTTGGGAAGGGTCTTGGACTGGGTGGTGAGGGGGTGGCCCGAGGCCAAAGGAGACCAGGACATCGCCCCGTTCGCCACCCGGAAACACGAACTCTCAACCCACAAGGGGTGCTTGCTGTGGGGAAGCCGGGTGGTCATCCCCTCGCCTTTAAGGGAACGGGTACTCACCGCCCTGCACGAGACACACCCCGGGGTGGTGCGGATGAAAGCCCTGGCCAGGAGCTATGTGTGGTGGCCAGGACTGGACGCGGACATTGAAGGGGTGGTCAAGAGGTGCCAGCCCTGCCAAGCCTCGCGGCCGGAACCACCCCGAGCGCCCGAGAGGGCCTGGGAATCCTCCCACCGTCCCTGGTCCCGCCTCCATCTGGACTTTGCTGGACCCTTCCAGGGCAAGCTGTTCTTCATCCTGGTGGACGCATACAGCAAGTGGCTGGAAGTGGTCCCCGTGCCCTCCACATCCTCGCAGGCCGCAATCCGGGCCATGTGGAGGATCTTCAGCGGCCAAGGGATCCCCGACACGCTGGTCACGGACAATGGAACCGCGTTCACCTCGGCCGAGTTCCAGGCTTTCACCAGGTACTACGGGATCCGCCACGTCCGATCCGCCCCGTTCCACCCTGCCACGAATGGCCAGGCGGAGCGCATGGTGCGCACCACAAAGGACGCACTTCGCCGACTGGACTCCACCGATTGGGACTATAAACTAGCAGCCTTTCTCTTCGGACAGCGTACCACGCCACACACCACGACCGGCCGCTCCCCGGCCGAACTACTGCTGGGCCGCCGCCTGGCCTCCCGACTGGATCGGTTACACCCAGACCGAGCAACCCCGGAGGCCCCGGGCACCGAGACGTACGAGTCGGCCAGAGGGTTCTTTCCAGAGGACCCGGTGTACGCACGAAACTACGGCCAGGGGCCCCGATGGATCCCGGCCCGAGTTGTACGGGTCAAGGGCCCCCGTTCGTACGAGGTCTCCAGCGAGGATGGCCAGATCCTCCACCGGCACATAGATCAGCTGCGCCGTCGCACGCTACAGCTGGACCCTGAGGATCCGGACGAGGACCCAGAGCCTGCCACATCGGCCCCACTCCCGGCACCGGATCCACAGCCGCCTCTCCGTGAGGAACCCGAGGCACCTCCCACCGTGGTGCCAGACTGTCCTGCCTCCTCGGCGCCCTCGCCGCCTCCGAGCCCCTTGGCTCCCAGGGCCCCCGAGACCGAACCCATCGCTACCCCGGAGCCCCGACGCTCGACGCGCCCCAAGAAGCCACCCGCCTACTTGAAGGACTTCGTCTGTGGGTGCCTTCTGAACCAAGGGGGGAGGGGTGTAATGTATTCAGCCTGACATGCCCGGACTTGCCCGGGCTGGCCAGGCACAACTCTTCAATAGCTTCATGTCCAAAGACAATGGGTCCGTAGGATCCTAGCCGGCCCAATCAAAGGGCCAGCTTCTCAGCCGGGAGACCAATGGTCGCCCGGTTACTGTAAATAGCCTATCGGGAGTAGGGGGTGTGTTTAGGTGTACTTGGTGGCGGGTTTTCTGAACCTATATAACCAGCCTGCGAGCTGGTCCCTTCGTCTTTGTCCTGAACTAAATAAAGGTATGCTTAGCTGAAATCACTCTCCGTCTGCATACTTTTCACATGTGAAGTGCGACTGAAGACTTCCTGGTTTTGAAGCCTTCAAGCTCCAATTTGGCATCACATCCAAGCACAGGCAGCTGGGCAACTTGGGACAATGTTTTCTCCTGACAAACTGGGAGGCTAAATCAGAGTTTGATCTGGTTAAATCCATTTGGATGCCATGGCAAACTGGATTTTGACTGAAGGCTTTCCAAACCAGGAAGACTTCAATCACATTCCAAATGCAAAGGGAGGTGGGGAGGAATAAGGCAAGGAGAGCAACAAGCCCATCACAAACAAACAGCAGAAGTCTGAACTCAGCCACTACCAACTAAGAGTACAGAGGACTGAAGTCTTAAACAAAAGAACAGCATTTCTCAGTAATCTTCATCATTTACTGTAACTTCCCGGGCATCTTCTGTAAGCAACATTGCACTGTCCTATTAAAGAAATGCAACACTTTCATTAAAATGATGAAAATCTGGAGCTTGAGCTTCTTTTAATCATGCAACATTACCCAACAGGAATTACATGTTTCATTGCATCTTTTCGGGGAGGGAGATTTGTACATCTCACATTTAGACAGGGTGAAGGAGCAGGTTATCCCAAGACAACTAATGCTGCAGAGGTACAATATCTAATAGTCAAGGTTCACTAGCAGAAATTCAAACACATAAAGTACTAGTAACACCACTTCGTCTGAAAGCAATTCCACAGATCAGTTTCATTGCGGAGCACCAAATCCAGTACAAAATGAACATTTATTCTACTAGGGAGCCACAGCAGGCAGAGAGATGACATGAGTGCCCTCAGCTGGCAAACACTGTTTTCCCTCCTTTACAATACTTAAAACAATCCAAAAGGGAGGGAAAAAAACTCCTTTTCTTAGACTTCCTTCCGTATTTCTTTAGATGCTTTAACCAACAATTACTGTTCCCCAAGCACCTGAAACTGCAGCTCCCTAAAGGCTTTGGATTTATCTACACAGCTCTTTTGGCAAGACAGCAGGCTTTCTTGACACTTCTGCAGTTTCCCTTCAGCTGAGTTCTGTAAATCACGGACATGTTCTAACTCCTTCAAACGAGCCTCCTTCTGGCCCCTCATCTGTGCAGCAGTATTGGTGATTGGGGGGGGGGAATGTAAACAAACAAAAAAAGGACTGTTAGTGTTTACAGACACTTTACACAGCCCAGTAAGTGCGAGCTTCTGTCTAGTACTAATTGCATAAAAAATACACTGTACTTACCTTATGCATTTCTAAATCTTTGGCTTCCATTAACTTTCCCCTTTCCTGGACGACCTTTTCATACCTGGCTTTTAATTCTTTGGCTTCCATTTCTAATTTCTGCACCTAAAACAGCATTTCACATAAACACCAAAATGATTATTTCTCATAGAATGCTGATGTTTGTTTCCAGCATAAAAGTCTGCATTTGTGTTTCAAATAGTTTTAGTTCCAGTTTTGAAAAGATACACATAATTTTGGCTTTGATCCACAGAACTACAAAGAGTGTGTGCAAAGGTGGGGTGGGGAGTACATTAGGTGAAGAAGTTTGATTAAGACATTAACTTTCTTGGTACAGGATTCTACATAGTTTCAGGTAAGGGCCCTTTTGGACCCCTCAAACGCTATGAAGTTAGAATGGGGGAGGGTATCCAGTGTTTTACAAATAGCGTTACATGTAAAATTAACTGTCCTTGGCACAGAAATTATAAGTGCATGCTGGATGCATGGAGCTCCTGGCTCTTAGAAAACAGGTTCATTCCCTTGAAGCTAGGGTTGATGACCTGGAGAAGCTGACACAAACAGAAAGGTATATGGGCGAGACCCTTAGGGATTAGGGGGAGGCAGGCTTTTGGTAGTGAAAGACTAGATCATTAGGAATATAGAAAGCAGGGTCTGTGATGGACGTTTCAAACTGCCTGTCTGGTGCAAAGGTTTCAGACCTCATGCACTGCCTGGATAGGCTAACAGACAGTATAGAGGAGGAGTTGGTGTTCATGTGCATGCTTGCACCAATGACACTGGGAAACGGAAGTCATGCAAGTGATATCCCAGATAAAAGCAGACACTGATCACAAAGCCTAGGCTTATGCACACTGTGTTTTACACATTAATGCTCTATTCAAACCTTATGCCAAAACGAGGGCATTCACTGACCTTGGAAGTAGGACAGATGAACCAGAAGTGCAGGAAGGTAGGGAGGTCTATTGCTTCCCCATTTTGCACACAGGAGATATCAGTGGAAAGTACTGTCTGAACACGGCACCAAAAAGTATTTCCAGTTGAATGGCTCACCTCAGTCTTATATTGGTTAACCAGGTTCTCTTGCTGCTTTGCTTCTTCATGCAAGTCCAAGAGTTCAGCTTCTGCAGATTTAATACCCGCTTCCAAAGCAGCAGAGGATGCCTAACATTTAGAATGCAGCCTTAATGAATACTACTAAAAAAGTATCATTAGGTAATGAAAAAACTGGGTTTGATTAGTGTGGCAAATATATAAAACACTGAAGTTATTACGAAGTGTTTTGATTTATTAAATATTTATATCCCTGCTTCACATTCCAGATTGGCTAACAACCAATAATGTAAAAAAAATCTTAGAAATTAACCATAAAACCCCTCATTAACGTTGTATGCAGGTTGTAGGTCTGGAACGGTAACCCTATGCAAACGTTTTTGCAAGTCAGTCTTAATGTACTCTGTGAGAGCTACTACTCAATAAACAAACACAGGACTGAGATGGAATTGTTGTAAGAGAAATAAAGGAAACTGAATGTATGCCCTGTAAGAAAATAAATCTTTTTCATGTGTAACCATGTGGAAAGCTGCTGCAACAAAACAACTTGAAATGCATGGCTAAGATAGAATCAAGATGATCTTCAACAGAGGAGCTCTTAACACAAACAGGAGGCCTACACTTTGTACAAATGAAGATGACATTACCTTTAGTTTTGCATTTTCAAGAGAAACATTTTCTTTTTCAGAGAGGACAGATTTAAGTTTTCCAAGAATCTCTCCCTTGGACTTCCTCCCATCATCCAGTAGTCTTTGTAGTTCCAGCAAATGGTCTTCCACCTGCCTTTAACATTTCAAACACAGCTTCTGTAGCAATCAGCTCTATGCGCCTGCGCTGCTTAGTTGTAAGTTAACTTACTTCCTCATTTTTCATTTTTTAGAAGCTATTTCAGAAAAGCATCTCCACAGTCACCATATGGAAAAAAACATTATTTAGGAAAAATTGAAATTAGATTTCCCAGTTAATGATGCTAAAGGAAACTATATGAGAGATAGCACAAGAGCAGGATGATTGTGGTGTGCCACAGAGAGGATGGTGTCTCTTTTGCAGCAACAGGAAGTGGACTGCACCGGAACTTACATCATCCTACAATGGAGGACCTTCAGACTGAACAGCCCATATAAAGGAGGCACAGAGCAGCACGGGGGCAGTTCTGGAATGGCTAGTATGTGAAGGATTACTTTGGCTGCTGGTGATAAGAACTACGTAGGTCCCAATTGTTTCCTCTCCCATGGTGGACTCAGAGGAGGATGGAGTGGCATACTAGGCATCCCCCCAGAACTCTGGTGTTCAGGAATACAAGGCATCTGGGCTTTCCTTAGTCAGGACACCCCTCCATCCCCTCTTCAGGCTTCTTCCCAGGAGGTGTAAGGAGCGAGGTATTGCATCTGACTCCACCTACTGTGGCAGGCACCACCCCCTCTCAAAATTCCAAAGGTGCCCAACTCAAAAAAGTTTGGGACCTCTGGTCGATCTAACAGAAATATTCAAAAAAACTTAGGAAAATCCTCATAAACTATAAGGACTTGAGAATATTCCAGAAATAAGTGGCAATTTAGACATAGAGGATGGTCAGCCATTTTACTTTTACTTTCTGGAACATCTTTGTGTATTGTAATTGCCCCCAAATACCAGCAGATATATTCAGTGTTTTAGTCTCCAGGGTATGAACTTTAAAAATAAATAAATAAAGGAAACATCTTATGCGAATCCTATTTCAATGCCGTAAGCATTCTTTCATCCATTTAAGGTTTATATTTCCAGCCTCAAAAATGCAAGATGTCAATTCTTATATTGGCTGCTTTTAAAAAAGTCCTCATTAATGACATGTGTACATTATTGTTCTAGTTGACATTATTATGAAGACTGAGGGGGGAAATGCATATGCAACACTACCGATTTGACAGGGAACATAGACCTCCTATCGAAGCACTTTAAGAGCCCGACAAGCCATAACACTTGTACTGGGCTCTCCATCTAGTCCTTCTTGTTTCCCTGCATGGAAGAAAAAGAGCTAACAGGCATGGAGGCTGTATGATCACCAAGCACTGCCTGCTTAATACAATCAGCAACTCAGCAATTCCGTAGTTAGGAGCCACACAACAAACAGGATATCTCCCACAATAAATGTGTTTTATTCATAAAGTTTTTTGGATGCTATGGGAGAAAGAATGCCTGTGTTTAGCTATCATAACCTTTGTACTAAATTCTAAAGTCTGCTTGAGATTTGCAGAGTAAAAATCCAGGAAAGCAAGAAACCTGTTAATAAGGCTACATTAAGTTTTAATCAAGAGATTATTTGCAAAGTTGTACAACATACAAACTTACTTTTTCAGAGTTATAACTTGAACTTCTAACCTGGTTTTTTCATCTACCACTGTCTGATGATGACTTTTCCAGACATTAGAAGCTGTAAGTGCTTCAGTCAATTGGATTTCCTAAAGAATGTACAAAATACAGACCATGTAATACAAGAACTCTTTTTAAAAATCTTTTCAATTCCCTAAATGCAGGAGGCATTTTCACTCAAAGACATTGTCAGGACTATTGCAGTAGCATGGGATAATATAAACATGAATCTCAATATAAGCATACACAAAAAGTCTGAAAAGCTGTAAACCATTATCATCAAGTGGGACCTAAGTAGTCTTGCAAACTTTCCAATGTACTAGAAATTTTAATCTTCCTGAATAAAATATCTTAACAGTTTGTACAGACTTTTCTTTTGGGGAGTGGGGCCAATGCTTCCACAACTTCTTCGTCACCAAAATCACATACACTGGGATTAGCAGTTGCTGTTTGAATATGGTGCCCTTCCCACAGACAAAGAGAACAAATATATGGTGAGCCCACTATGAGGACTTTCACCCAGTTTTCCTAAACCCGTAACAAATACTATCAGAGAGCATATATGTTAGTTTGAAACAATACATTCTACATTTTAAAAAACTTAGAATAGATGAGGAAGAAGGATATCTGAGAAGACCTTTTGAAAAAAAACCATCTGCTCTTTTCTAAACAGTATAGGACGTTACAGAATGGCTCCCTACTACTATGCCTGAATGAAATTACTGGAAAGCCACAGCCAGTTCAGATGGGTTTCTGATTAGATTTGTCAAAGTACCTGAATAAAAGGAGCTCACCTTTTCAGACACTTCTCTGCTTAACTATCACACACATGCTGGTAAACTGATGCATAGATACCAGAAGGTCACTTCATAAACTCATGTGAAGTATAATATTTCTGATGAAGAGAGCTTTGCCTCTTGAAACCTTTTACCCCAAAAATCTTGCTGGTCTCAAAGGTGCTACTGGACTCAAATTTACTGCAGACCGACACAGTTACCCTCTGAAACTATTTACCTTTTAATAAGTGGTCAAAGAAAATGAAACATGTCCACAAAATGAAGCTGCTACTTTCAGTCAGCTGTTAGTATTAATCACAAGGATTAATGGGCAACTTTGTTATTTTGAAACAATGCAGTCTCCTAATCAACCACTCACCTTCTCCTTAATTTTGGAAATTAAGTTTTCCACAGAAGCTTCCAAATGTTCAGCTCTATGTTTCTGAACACTGGCTGCTTTTTTCAGTGCAGCCTTCCTTTCCCTTCTCCTTTCCTTTTCAGCCAAAATCTGCTGCTTCTGCTCTCCAATTTGTAGCTTCCATTCAGTAATGTTCTTTTCTATAGCCTGCAAGAGAATTAAGAGAACAAATTAGACATTCTGAATGGGAGGGGGATTGCGCATGAACACAGGGGTCTATTTACCCACATATTGGGTTAAATGACAGATCAAAAAAGTAATTGTTCAGACTTGATCCAGTGAATGTTTATCTGGATTTTCTCAATTACTTCACGAAGGCAACTTAAACTTACAGCTAAACATTTTTTGAATGGTTTGAGGAACTTGTCCAGAGTCTACTTAGCATTGAAATGTGACCCAACACAGCAGGTTGACCTGAGCTGCAGCAAGACAAGTTAAGGCCATCACCTCTGCAGCTGAAATATGATCCTACGCCTTGGAAAATTCCAGTCTTGCTCTATCTTCACTTACAACTGATGAATTTTCACTCTCCAGGGCAGCTTCTAAGGACAGATTAGACCTCAGGGTGTCACGTAAGCTTAACAGAGGGGGCTCCATCCAGCCCCCAAATTTTATCAGCATGTTTCAGCTGAAGTACAAGAATATCATAGAAATGCTGAATTGTCACACCTGCACTAGGAAGCTTTTACACCAGCAACAATGTAATGAATCAGTGAGAATTTCCATAACAGAGTCCAAGGACTACAGCATCTCCCATACAGACTTGAATAACACTGGTTATAACAGTGAGATCCCGAAACAGATGCCAATTAACATAATGGTTTTCCACACAAAGAAGATAAAAAGTAAGGCCAAGGCCGATGGTACAAAATAAGGTAAAATATATATTTTAAAACTTTTATTACTCAGTTAAAACCTCCAAAATTCCCTACATATTTCGCCAACAGTCTTCATCAGGAGAATCTGCTGGTCTTGCAGTAATTCTGCAAAAACAGTACAAGATCAGTATTGGGAATTTTACCTGAGTAATAAAACATATTTTTACCTTATTTTGCACCATTGGCCCTGGCCTTATTTTTTATCTCCTAGTGACTGGTGCAGCCCTTTTATTTTCTCTTTCCAAAGACAAAAAAAGCACTTCTGATAACAATGCTATGGTATAGACAAGCTGAGGATCTACTTACTTTAATGAAGATATTCTGCAAACGTAATGATTTGTGTGGCAGCTTTAAGCAATAATGCAAGTGTGGGAAATGGGGACGAGAACAAGGAGAAAACTGTAGTGATTCCATACTTTTTTCCTTGGGGAGTTAACATGGACACCAACAACTCAGTCTATAAAGCACACCTCCACAGTAAACACCTGAGTAAGATAACCTGCAAGGTGGTTCTTGAGGAATGAAATATTTTTGCTGTCTACCTAGGACTGCAGGAGCAGTGGCAGTGTCAAACAACCACCTGGCAAGATACAATACATGGCTGGTGGGAAGTGTTCAATTTGGTGACCCAGAAGTAAAAGGCCATAACTCGAAAAGTTTCTATTTGTTGACAAAAGATAATAATCCTTAGGCAGAAAATACAGCTGCTATTTCACCAGCTATCACAAGATGTCGCCATCATAACACTACAAGATCTTAGCAACAACACACACACACACACACCCATGCAGAATCACCAACAAGGCTACAAAACAGTTTTTCCCCCAGTATGCAGTTCTAGGTTTCAGAAATACAGGCAAGTCAGGTTTAATATGTTGTATAAGTAGATCTGAATGAATGCTTTCTTTCTGTTCTGTGTCAGCATCATACCAGCAGTTTTAACTGCTTTTAAGATATATGTGGATATATAGACTATGCTAGACAGATATCAATGTACACAAACAAACTGACTCATTTGTATAAGAACAAGAAAGCAATTCAATTGTTTTTCAATCTCTACAAATAAAAACAAGCTTGAAAATAAGTACCGTATTTTCCTGCGTATAAGACTACTTTTTAACCCAGGGAAATCTTCTCAGAAGTGGGGGGTCGTCTTATACGCCGGTACGCCAGAAGCATCAGCACAGCTCTATATTTTAACGGGAAAACTCTATATTTTAACTGGAAAAGTTGGGGGTCGTCTTATACGCCCAGTCGTCTTATACGCCGGAAAATACGGTAATACAAGCCATGGGACCACAAGGACTTGTGGGGGGGGGCATCTCATTTTCCTCTCCTCCGCTATTTCCTCCTTCCCTTCCCTGGGAGCCCCCATAACCTCTTCCTGCATCCAACCTATCTTTTATCTGCCCCTATCTCTTACTTCATTTATATCCCACCTTTATCCACAATGGGGACCTAAAGCAGATGACATCTCACCTCCATTTTATCTTCACAACAAGCCTATGAGGTAGGTTAGGCTGAGTGTGAGTGACTAGCCCAAAGTCACCCAGTGAGCTTCCACAGCAGGGTGGGGATTTGAACCTGGGTCTTCCAGATCCTAGTCTGAAACTCTTATCTACTACACCACACTGGCTTTCATAGGGTGGTTGCTGTTGAACAGTTGCAAACAACTGGGCCTGTGTCAGTCATACAAGTCAGGTACAGTATACTGCTGTTGTTGACTAGCAAATACCACTGAGGGTATTAACAATGCTACAGGTATGCCCCTATTATTTTAGAGGGTTTTAACCCCTCTTTTTAAATGTATTTATAAGTTTCAGATTTTTCTGCAAACCTGGGGCTTCTGTGCAAGCTTGTAGAAAGGTGTATCTTGTCTGTTCACGGTTCTAATCTCTGGACTTAAGAAGACACAGATTTGGCCATATTGAGAATTAGATACATTGATGAGGAAAAAAGTAGTCCTGCTTAGGACTGCTCACTTGTTTACTATAATCTACTGTACATAAGTATAACCAGGCTGTATTTAAATATATTAAGTGAAAATATACTATCATTTTTTTTTAATAAAGCCATCTGGTGGCCTGGGGAGAGTAGAAATGTTGGATGGGGAAACTGGAGCAAAGAAAAAAAAGTCAGAAATATGAATGGGACCTAAAAATCCACACTTCCCCATCCACAGTGTTCCAAACATGTTTCCTCTGTGATCTTTCCAAGACGACTAGCCCAAAGCAGGTTTGGAAAAAGATTAAAGTAAAACATGGGAAAAGACCAGTCCTGTCTGGAAGTCACAGCAGAGCAAAACAGCCATGTAGAAGCAGCCATACATGAGCTCAGAAACAAACAGAGTCGTTCTATGTTTTTACCAACTGTGGTGAAGATAGACATCTGAATTGCAGCCCTTGTCTTCTACACTACCGGCCAATATGGGTGAATGTGATTTGATCTGAAGGTAAACTACTGTGAGCAGAATCCAAGTCCCTCTTTTTATTATATTTACAGCCTTCCTTGTTAAAAAAACCAATTAAGAACATTTACCCATGGAAACCATTTTAGGACGACACAAGCAACCACTAGTAATTCAACCATCTGTATATTAAAGAACTTCTCAAAAAAGTGAAATCAGCCACACACAAAAAAACAGAACCTGAATTTTTGTTCTCAGTTGGTTATTCTCAGCCTCCTTTTTCTCTATCTGGCATTGCAAGTGATTTTGTACTACTTGTACCAATTCTACCTGGTGTGATGCTTTTCGTACATCAGCCTAAAATATAAAGAAAAAAAACAAAGCATAAAATAAATTGTAAATTCTACAACTGTAAAGCCTACATGGCTGGATCTAAAATGAGCATTTCTATTCTGCAGCTTGTTTAATGTTATATGGATACAGCTGCTGAGACTCAAGGTAAGTTATCCATTCAAGGACGAGTATTAACTTACTCTCTCTTGCTGAAGTTGAGCAGAATGCTCTAAAATGATCCTCTCTTTTTGAAGAACTTCATTTTTAAGATCCTTCAGAGGAGAAAAAGAAGTCAAATATGGTTTTCCAAAGAAATATTAAACAGTGTACTCCTGTAAATGTACAGGAACAGGACAAGATTTTTTTTCTTTTACTTTTATCATCCAGCTCATATGTTCAGAAGCCCACAAACAGCCAACACATATATAATAAACCAAGGTATGGCAAGCATGCTTAAGAATGCAAATTTTCATTCAGTTTTGAGGAACCTTAGACTTTCTCAAAAAATGAGTTGTAGAAAAACTGCATGTGGGTTGTGCTGTTGGAAGAGCAAAGGGGGTGATTTAACTTTGTTCTCAGGGCAACCCCCTTGGGTACTAGCCCATGCAGGTCCACTGAATCTCCAAATGAACTTTCCCGAAACTGGAAAGGAGTGCGGGGGCAAGTGGGCAAGGAAAATCCAGGATCCTTGCACCCACAGATCACTGGATCCAAATAGGGTTGCTAAATGGGCCCGGGGGGTGGGGAATCCCCCGCTTCGGAGCCCCGATTTCCGCCCTGGCGGAAGGTGGTGACGCAGCCACGTTGGAGGCGTGGCTGAGCTCGTCGGGGGGGAAACCATATGGACACCAGCAAGGCTCCCCCGCTCTGAGGGGGAGTGGACTTGGCACCCCTAGATCCAAACCCTAGCCTTGTGCCTCAGTTTCCTATTGTCTAAACAAGAATGGATCTATTTGCTGAGCTTTGTACATTTTAAGAACTCACCTTGGTAATCAGTGTTCCCTCTAAGCTGAGTTAGTGTGAGATAGCTCACAGTTTTTTAGCCTCCGGCTCACACATGTTTGTCTTAGCTCAGGAAGGATGGCTCCAGAGCAAACTAATTTATGCAGTAGCCAAATTGCTCGCTCACAACTTTAATGCCAGTAGCTCACAAAGTAGAATTTTTGCTCACAGGACTCCACAACTTAGAGGAAGCATTGCTGGTAATATCTTGATGTAGAGGGGTTGATGCATGTACCAGTTATCACAACTTGGATCTTAAATTTGTCTTACTTTTCTGTAATTAGTTGTAAATATTTATAAGTAATCAAGAAAACAATTACATCTTCTCTTGAGATTCCTTACACAGAATTTTCTTCCTTAGACAGGTCTTTTTTATTTTCATTCCTTTGATTCACTGAATTTAGTTTAGTATTAAGGAGACCTGGTTCCTAAATCTTGATTTGTAGCTGCACACTTGGTGCTCAGCTGTGGCCCAAAGAGACAAAGTTTGTAGCAGGCAGACAGGAAGGCAGGCATGGTGTTGTTGCCCCACCCTTCCTCCTTTAATAACAACGCTCACTTAGCCCTTTGGCTGAAGCCCTTCTTTGTACTGGCAATTTTAATCCACTATAACTGGAATCCTGAGGAGGTCGAAGAATATGACTAGACTGCTCAATAAAGACTGGGAGGGGAAAATAGCACCACAATGGCCCTATTCAGACAGAGAACTGTAGCAAACACAAGCCTTGACAGAAAGCAGAACTTACTAAAGCTTCACTTTCACTTTCCGTTAACGTCTGTGTCAATTCTCGAAGCCGTTTACTGGTTATCTACAAAATCAGAAATGTGACAAATCTAACTGAATACCACTTAATATTGCACACAATGTAATAATTAAACACACTTTCTGTGACATCAGCTTTCCCCACAAAATGTCCTGAATAAGCATACGACTGATCTACGGTTGTGGGCAAAGAGGGAAAAACTCTGTCCTGACAAATGCCAATTAAGTATCAGAAAATGGAGTGCTCATTACTATAGAGACCACACAAACAAGTGAAGACTAACTACAGTCATTCTATTAATAGATTTTTTTCCCAGGGAAACTGCATCCCTATTTAATTTTTTTATCTGCATAATAGGATACAAGCCTTTTCTATATGTTATTTTTGCTAAAAGGATAGCAGCAGCAAGTTAGATCCAATACGCACTCAGAACATTCCTAATTCCCACCTCTTGCTGCAGCCCAATGAGCTTCCTGAAATGTTGCTCAGGGGGAACACATACTCTCGGAAACAGCATGAGGGATAAAGTGGGAGAGGAGGCCTTATACTGGCGGAATACAAGATTAAACCCAGAGTCTCCAGGAGGAGCTGGACTCCAAACATTACACAGAAGAGTTAAGGCTTTTTTTTCTCTACAAGCTGAATATTCCCAACTGTTAATTAGGCAAATTCCCAAGTAGAAGAACTGCAGCATAGTGGGTCAGGTCCTAGGCTGCAGTTATTTATGATGCTCCAGCCCACTGCTAGACACAGTGTCTGCATGGATTTTGCCAATGGATCTCACACGGGAGGGGAAAAAAACATTCCTCCCTGGGGATTCTGATGGTGGAGGTGGGAGAGTTCCAGCTTGCTGCTTCCCCCAGCATGTTGGATCCCTTCTTGGCAAATAGATCCACTACAGAAAAAAGGCTTGTGCCTGCTCTGCTCAATTATTTGTCATATTATATTTGTGAGGAAGGCCTGCAGCCTGCCACAAAGACCAGGAAGCTAGAGTGCTCACATGTAAACCAATTTATGAACAATTCCTGTGCTGCCTTTAGTGCTCTCACAGCACAGCACAGGACTGTGGGGAGGGGGGAAAGATACAAGAGAACAAACTTTGAGAACTTGCCTTTCCTTGACCCAGAAAGAAGCAGGCTAGTACATATACAGGCTTCTTACACTATTCTGTGGGTGATCACTTTTGCCTGGAAGTAGGATTGTCAAAGAATTAAAGATAGCATTTTTCAGCGCTATTCTTGGTCCTGGTTTCTATTACATTGTTATTTTGCCCTTTCTCTAAGGAGCTCAGGGCATTGTACAAATATCCCCTCTCTTCCATTTTATCCTCATAAGCACCTGCAAGGCAGGTTAAACTAAAAATGAAGGGCTCGACCGAAGAAGCATGGTGAACAGGATTTTGTTTTGTGCATCCACTTACTTCTTTTTCCTTGCTTGCTCTAAGTAGTTGTTGTAACCATCCCTTCATATTTTTCAACGCTTCTAGCTCCTTTACCAGTAAATCTGCTTGCATAGAAATCTTTACCATATCTGATGCAGAAACGTAACAAGCCTGGCAAAATATTAAATTACAGTTAAATCATTTTGCATACACCATTTCTTCACTAAGCCAGTGTCACTTTTAAGGCTAAAATATTTTGAAAGCAAACTATAGCGGTCACTTATATATGCAGAAATGCAAAAATCATACAAAACTTTGTTAATACAATGAAGCACACAGTTTGGGCACCATCACATATAAAGGATGCCCAACTGGCTTTTCTTCATGGCTGTTTCTACCTGGGGATTTCCCCCTCTGATGGAACACAGCATGCCCCTGCTTTTATTTTTCAGGAACTTATGTATGACATGCCCTCTCTGGACCTTTCTCTGTTAAGCCAGACCAAAGAAAAACCTCTTTTACTCTAATTTAAAAAAGAAATAGTGCTATGGCAGCAGGCAGAGTCTCTAGGTGAAAGTGCTGCCCACAGCTAATCGCTAAGCTCTGTTTTCCCCTTCAGCTCTTTGGCATGATTTTTATTCTACAACACGTGAGGAATGACTCACCTGTGAGCTACCTCTCAGCTACTGGAGGGGGAAGCGAGATTGCTGGGCTACAGGAGAGCCTGGCAAGATCCTTTTTTGGGTCAGCACTTTTGTGCTGATACAATGAGTGGGGAGGGGTGAAGCAAGAAGGGAGCGGTGTGTGTGGGGGACACAGAAATGTATGAATGCTTGCTCTGCCTGCCTATAATCCAGTACCACTGTTTCCACTGCAGGACACAATTTCATGACCCCGTGTGGAACAGCCAGTATCAGAGTACCACTGCTGGTACTCTGCATTGCCCATAGCATCTCACACCATTTGAGGAAGTACAGACAAGCTATGTATTTTCATACTAGGGTATGACTGGCAGCCTAGCACTCCTTCTTGGAAATTATCTGAGCACTGTTAGTCAGGATTGAATTACACGCACACTAAAGGCAGTATATAGCCCTTAGGTCCCTATGTCCTTCCACAAATGAATGTACAACCTGAAGAATAACCTTTTTATCTTCAGGGAAACATTAAGAAGAAGAAGCTGCGGGGATGGAGGTGGGATAGCTATTACACACACACTGTAACACACAGTGCAAAAGACGCAAAACACAATGGCCCAGTTCAGGCAACATAAAGCCATTAATTAGTTAGTTGATTCAGTCCTTCCCAGTAATGAAAGAATGTTTACTTACCTGAAACTATGTCCTGAAAGTGGTTTATTCACAATTATTCTAAATACAGTTTTGCTTAACATACATATGAGGAACCCTGGCTTGCCATTTTTCATACTTCTCATGCTAGAGAAACTGGCTCAAAATCAAAACTGCCCTGCTTGAACCACCTGCCTCTAGCAGTCCCCCCACCCTCATCTCTGCCCTCTCTTAAAAAGTACAGGAATGCTGCCATTCTCCATCCTTACAAGCAGCAACCAAAGGAAACATTACTTGATTCAGTGTCACTAGGGAGCAGAAGATAATGAAACGGAAGTATGCACTGCCTCCCCCATCCGCTGTACTGCTGGGAGGATTTGGAAAATGCAATACTTCTCACGCTGTCCAAACTACACATACGACTTCCTGTAATAGCCTGGAAGGGGAGCTATTTGCCCCTTCTTGGAACTTCATGGGCACACACTGTTATCCCAGACTGGAACAGCCCTGAGTGGAAGGTAGTAGCCTCTCCTCCCCCATGCTATGGTCCCAAGCCAGATGGGGGCCCCATATACTTTTAAAACACCATTCCCCACAACTACTGTGTGGCTGCAGGGAAAGTAAGATGGGTCTGGTCCTATTAGTCAGAAATCATAGTGGGTTGCTTGGGCCCATGGCCTCGCCACTGGCAGACTGAAAGGTAAACTTCAGCTGCAGAACATGAAATAACAGTGCCAGCTGTGGAATGAATCTTGCGAAGCCGGGGGGGGCGGGGGGGGGGGGGGGTCTGCTGAACACCTCTGAGTATATGTGAGATGTATTTTTACAATCTGGAGTGAGGAAAAAGTTAATCTGAAAAGCTAGACAACTAAGGGAGCATGAAGCAGCGGTCGCTTTCTGTGTCAAGAGAGTTCACCTTCTGCTATGCTAACAATAGATGACACTTATACAGCAAAGCTTTGCCCTACCATGGGTGTTGCAATGGCTCCTGGGATAGCAGCCACGTGTTTGCATGGAAGGTAGAGAAAAGATACAACCAAGTTTTGTCAAGACAAACCATGATTGAATGATTGAATTCAATCCTTGTTTCACAGATTAGCCACATTTAAAATATGCCATGGCTTTGTTATATTTGAACTAATCCACTATTGAATAAGCTGTTTCCAGCAGTTGTATTAGCTGTGTGCAGTGGAACAAGTTGCTCACAAAGTTGCAAAAGAGCCAAGGTATTATAAGCTATGTTTTGTAAGGAGAAATGTACAATTGTAAATATTTAAAACAGAGAATACTGTATGCTTAACTGTATTCTTAACCCATTCTTAAAACATGTAAATTTGGTACACATAACTGAAAGCTAAATTGCAGCTATGTCTAATACACCATACAGAGAAATATTAAGCATACTGTTTCAAATCTTGTACACTACAATTGACAAGCATACCTGCATTTAAAACAGCTACCGATATTGGCTACATTACATATATTTATTAACAATTATTCATGTTACATAATTCAACTTACCAATGCTTTAAAAAACTTACTTTTGTAATTCTATCAAGAGTTTCCTTAAATGATGGCAAAAACATTTCAGCTGAACCAATTGCAAGCTCTGCTTCTTGAAGCTTTTTCCGAAAAGTTACATTTTCATTAATAGCACCTTCCTGCAACCTATTAATAGAAATGATACAAGGTTAATTATTCTTTTGGAATTGTGTAATGGCACTTTATTTTAAACTAAGGGATATACATATATGAAGCTGCCTCTGAACCATTACACCTTTTCACTCAGTGTGGTCTACTTTCACTGGAAGCAGCTTCCCAGCATTTTATATCTGCTATTCTATTATCCGCTGAACAATGTATGTTTCATTATAAACTGTGCTTTATGTTCAGAAAATGCACATTGTGTGGAGCAGTCCTTATGGACTAAAGGCGCATCTCAAAAGCAACAGAAAGGAAACTATTTCTTCTACAGCATTATAAATGACCTCTTCTCAATTCTTCCAATGTAATTAAACAAATACTGTTCTTCATATAGATCCATTCTTCTAACACTCATGACCTTGACTGCACAGACTATGCTGATAAAATGAACTAATCACCTTATGAATTAAGTTAATAAAGAAGGGCTAATTTTTAACTCTTTCTCAAATTCTGTTTTCACTTTCTTCTCAATGAGTGCTGAAGCGAACAAGGGTATCCTTTTCACTAAAGCAACCAAGAGCCTACTTGACTAGCCTCTTCACTACAGGACAGCAGAAGCGAAACCTATGCATTCTGGCTTCCAGCTGCTGTGAAGCATTAACTGCCCACAGGACAGAGCATTTGAAACACCACTAGAAACCTTTAAGCTTTTACAATGATATAGAAAAAGAAAACAAATCCTATGAATAACGGTGGTCCTACCCTGCACAACAGCCATGTTTTAAGCGCTTCTCTGAAAGCAAAGGTATGCTAAGTTTTCATCTAAATTAAGACAGTGGCATTAGATCCACAATTGTTCTCATCAATCGTTCCCACTAATATCTGAGAGAGATGTGGCTTGTTTTACTAAACTAAATTCTGAGGTCTGAGCAAGACTTGAGATTGGTTATAGATCTCTAAATATTACGTATAAATATTACATATAAATGTACTATTTATATGTATAAACGTATTGCCTCTAAATGTTACATATAAACATGTTTGCCTTTGATAAAAAATTAAGAACAATTAAAAAATTAAACTCATCTTTAAAAACAGCTTCAGTGCTTTGAGCTATGAGGGCACTATATTATGCATGTATATGGATATTAACAAACCATAAATCATTCTAGAGCAAAATACCCAACCCATTAATGTTCATTCTCCCCCCACCAATTGAACTTTAGGCATACCATTTTGTTTCCGTTTCATTCATGCTTTCTTCCAGAGTGTTATCCTGGGATTTTCTTTTAAGGCATGGCAACAGCTCTTTTATCTTGGCCCGGTGTTGATTCACAAGTCTGTTGTATGAACTCCAGTTTTCCTTCAAAGGTTCTTTCACTATGCATTCTGAAAGCTTATGGAATATTGATTTCATTTTATTCCTTATTCACCCCCAGAATCTTAACAAGCAGACTTTGCATCAAAATTATGCCATTCACAAAAGCAAACCTACACTTCATAGGTTCTCACATTTTCATCCATTCATCTCTCCCGATGGATGTGGGCGTTTAGTTTTTTCAGCCATTATAGACTCTTAATCTGCTATTTTTTCTAGCTAAGTATTGAGGAGTTGTCTAATGGCCTAACTATTTGTATCTATCATATATTCTTCAAATATCATACAATCAAATGGCCTGGGGATCAAGAAGAGACTGTGGACACTGTAATTATATCTATAAAAAATCAAGCAGCAACTTTAGTCACTTAATTCAAATTGCTTACATCACTGGCTTGTAAATAATATATAGACTCCCTTAACATCTTTCAGTACAATCTTATTGTCATGAGGTTGCATCACACAAACCTTGACACACACACCTCTTAAGCACATACTGCTTGTACAACAACTCTTCACCAAACTAGTGGCTTCCAAAGTTTCTACATTCAGGACACCTTTCCACATCAATCTATACAACGAACTCCTGAATATCAGCCAGAGCACTGCAGAGACATATCTTAGGGTTTATGCAGCATGCTGAGCAAGCCAGCTGTATGAATTGAGAATACACTGTGTACTCAAATGGCACACTGCAGCTGAAGATTAGTGGAATGCAAGCACACTTTAAAGGATGTGTGTCCACCATTAGTGACCTTCCCATTGAAGAAAACCTGATAAATTCCCAAGAAACCATGCAGCTCCCAGAACATATACTGAAAATCACTAGTAACTCCCTAAGCTAATTAACAAGGCCTTTATTATGCAAATTTGAATGAACTTGCTATAATCATTCAACTTTGGTGGTGGAAAGTATTGCCATGTTGGAAAGTGCTGTCAAGAGACTGCTAACTTACGGTGACCCCGTGGGATTTTCAAGGCAAGAGATGTTCAGAGGTGGTTTGCGATTGCCTGCCTCTGTGTCACGACCTTGGTACTCCTTGGATGTCTCCCATCCAACTACTAGCTATAACTGACCCTACTTAGCTTCTGAGATCTGATGAGATCGGGCTAGCCTGGGCTATCTAGGTTAGGGTTCATCCGACTTTACACAAATCTAAATGAATGGTTTGTGTCCCCATCTACCATGCAAATGGAAACGACTTTCTCTCCTGATAAGCAAAAGCTATTTAAGCAGTTACAGTTCATACTAATGCTTTGAGCTTCTAATGTATCTTACATGGTTATCTGAAGAGTCCACATCTTCATTTGGACAACTCAAATACTTTCTGTGTTGGTCAGCTGTAACTGATTTGTGCATCAGTTTTCTAACAGTGGCTGCCCATGTAACCCTGGCCAATATTTCATGACAACTTGCTTCTGAAACAGAGAAGTAATTCATGTCATGACATGGAGTGGGGTAGAGATGTACAATTTCCTAGTTTTCTTTTGGAGAGGGAAGCAAGTATTTGAGAAAAAAATGAAATATATGCAACACTTAACCTTCATGTAAAACCTAAACTTATATTATGGCTTCAATGACGTAAATGTATCACTTACGGCTTAGCTAGCCGATAGACAGCGTGGTGAGCGGTTAGAGTGTTGGACTAGGATATGGGGGACACAGGTTCAAATCCCCACTCTATATCATGGAAGCCTGCTCACAAGGAACTCAGGATGGTTCTCTCATTTTATCCTCACAACAACCCACGGTTGAGAGAGACTAGCTGGCCCAAGGTCATCTAGTAAGCTTGATGGCTCAGTAAGAGTTGAGACCCAGGTCTCCCGGATTCTAATCCAACACTCTAACCACCACACCACACTGGTTCACTAGACCTAGAAAACTGAAACTCAGATCATTGCACTGACACACAAGGCCACAAGCACAACATAGATAGAGGGTCCCTCCACAGTAACCACCGAAAGGGGCATTTTCTAAGCATTTAATTTTAATTTAATTTGACCAGCGTGGTTCAGTGGTTAGACGACGTTCTGGGAAATCCAGGTTTGAATCCCCGCTCTGCTACAGAAGCTTGCTGAGTGATATTGGGCCAGTCACAGAATCTCAGCCTAACCTACATCACAGGATTGTTGTGAGGATAAAATGGAGAACAGGAGAATGATGTAAGCCACTTTGGTTCTCCCTCTGGGGGAGAGGCGAGTTATGAATAAAGTAAATGAATACTATATGCCATATCTCTGTTAAGTATAAATGTCTGAGCCTTCTACAAACAAAACTGAAAATATGTAATCACAATAGTACTATCTCCATATTTGTATATCAAGCATTATAACACCAAAAATACTGAATGGTTTAATATAAAACTTGTTATAACATATTAATTGTTGCTGACATTATTCACATGTAAAACAACATATCATTGAAAATACATTGTATATCAACAATATGGGTAGAAGTTATCTTCTAGTGCTATCAATTGTCTTACATAAAACTTTTCATGCTACAAACTCTGAATATTATATCTTGAAACAGAAAAGATTCATAAAAAGAAGTTTCTAATTTTTCCACTAGAAAGAAAATTCCCAGGGGGTGGGGTGGGGTATTGAAAAGAAAAAGTCACAGATTGCAGCAGGCTCACACAAATCGTTTGTGTGAAATACAACAGCTCTCCAGATCATGATCATTCTCTTAAGGTGGCAAATCGGAAGGAACCCATTTATATAACATAACATCACTCAAACATTTAAAAAAATCTAGGTAAAACCAAGTCACCATGTGTATAGAATACTTTGGAGGGAAGGTGTAAAAAGGTGAAACATTTTGGTATCGCAGAAATGATATAAGAAATCATGATAACAGGTTATCTCCCTACAAAATTTGTCTTTGATTTTACTCTTTTGATTGACAAACAGGCATACATATGGAAGTTCAGTAGTTTAAGTTTTGTCATATGCTACACACACACCCGCATTAGCATTGTAGTAAACACTAAATTTTAATCCAATGATTCAGAGAGACATTGTTCAAAAATACAAACCCAACTACTTTCTTGATATATAGTTGTTAAAGTAATATATTACTACTCCCGCCAAACTATGTCCTTTGGTTTACAGATATTGCAGAAAGCATTGTATGATTAAGACAGCATACCTGTAACTTGCTGAAAACAAGTGAAAACTAAATGTGTTTGTTTACTGCATATAATTTATAACCCAAGTGTTCAGAACAGATGGGTGACCTGCCAGTCTGTAGCAGCAAAATAAAACAGGAATCCAGTGGTACCTTAGAGATGAAATAATTTATTTAAACATAAGCTGTCATGAGTCAGAGCTGATACATTCATGTGCATGGCCTGATGGATTTATATTCCAATGTAATAAAAGGGGCTCTGATTTACAAAAGCTTATGCTGGAATAAGTTTTGTTAGTTCTTAAAGTGCCACTGGACTCTTGATTTATTCAACTGAATTGTTAAAAGTTGTATACCTTGGTTCAATCCCAAACTTCATAAGGCACAACTATCCTAAACCAAACTTGCACTACTATCAGTTTAATGTATATATTCAGTCACTAGTAATAGTACTTCAACTCTCACCCCAGGCTATATTTGAAAATGAATACCAATAAAGGTTTCATTTATAATACAGCTATGCAGTCCGGTGAGACACAATCTTATAAATTATCTGAAAATCAGGAGCATGGAAGGGGACAGGTCTGCCATCAGCCACCAGTGTGTAAGAATCCCTTTGTTTTATTTTTAAAAATACATTTTACTTTGAAGTATCACACAGCAAACAAATTGCAGGATATTACCTCATTAAAATGTCCTAGTTTAAAGAATAATTGCCTCAATTATGTTGTTATACATCTGATAACCTTCCCTAATAATACACATTTAATAATATTGCATTTCCACTTCACTTTTTAAAATCCAAAACTTGGCTTCAAGATGAAATAGTACTGAGGGAACTACATAGATGAAAATCACCTATTATTTATTACATAGATGAAAATCACCTATTATTTATTACATAGATGAAAATCACCTATTATTTACTAACCATGGTTCTTCACACATTAGAAAGCTTGAAGCTCCTGATGCCTCTGACTAGGAATCTCTGCCTTCAAGACAGAGAGAGCCATTTATGTGTTAGTGAGGGGGAAAGTGCAAAAAGCACTTTGCACCAGCACTTTTACCTCTGAAACGGATCAGGGTGCCTTTGCACTGAAAATATGGTTGTCAAATTAACCCCAATTCAGATTAAATCCTGAACGAAGATAACACACCAGGACAAAAAAGTAAATGTTTTCCATCCAACCATACATATCTCAACAGGGCCAAGCATTATAACAGGGGGATTTCTACAGAGAAGCCAGCTGTTACCACCTCTCTATATTCACTCCACCGATATGATGTCTCAATTCTCTGATACTCCCTCAGAACACTGGACGGTTCATTCCTATCTTTTCCACAGGATTTAATTGGAGCCCAGAGGCTTAGCTCTATTTGCAGCGCAAAGCATAAGGCTAAGGCTTAAAAGTATTAAAGCAAATGCCTCCAATCCATCTTATTATCCTGTCCGCCCCCAAAAGAGCCCAGAGGAAGGAGGGGTGATTCTCTCCTCACTGTTTACCTTAGTCCAAGCTTATGAGTGAACATTACAACAATGCGGGAAGCAGGTCTCCCCAGCCCGTCAACCACCCTAATTGTTACACTACCTCGAACACATGAAATGGGCTCAACCGGTTAGACAAAAGTTGCTAGGGCTCACACATCCCTGGAAGCCCTTTACTCTAACACCCGATCCCGGAAAGCGCCTTGCGGGTGCTTAATAAAAAGCAACTCTGCACATGCTTGAACCCTCCCCATTTGCTAATATTCTTCAGACTCCAGCATTGTAGCAGGATATTTACAACAGATTCTGAGACTTAACGCATACGCACGTCTGAATGGAGTATTGAACACCCACAAACACTTCTGAGGCTTTGGGGGCCTGCTTTCTGCAGGGGGGTGGGGAGTAACTATAGGCAAGTCTGAGCGACAGCATCTATAGTTCCAGAAATTAAGCACCGCCCTACCCTCCCACACACCCTTCACGCTCGCCGCTATCCCGCCTCCGGTTCCTCTCTCCTTAGCATACCACTTCCTGTCATCCTTTCCAAAGAGACAATTAGCAACGTTACCCCGCTTTCCTCCATTACCGCCCTTCCGCCACACCGAGCGGGAAACGGACAAAGCGCCTGTGCAATGCCAAAGCGCCCTGCCGGGCAAGTGCAGAAGCACCGTTTGCAGCCTCCGAGACTCCAGTTCTCCTTTACTGAGCGTGCTCGCTTCATTGTCGAGCATGCTCAGTAGAAGCAAATGAAGCCTTCCTTCGCCCTTACTTTGCGCCTATTAAAAAAAATGGTGCTAAGATCAATGACTCACTGGGACATCAGATAAAGCGACACCGTATAGGGAAACAAAAATTCCGGGGGTGGGGGGAATCAAATTAGGAGAGAGCATGCTCAGAAGCTTCTGGTGTAGTCACTGTCTCTAGCCTTGGTCTCACTTTCACTCTGAAATCAGGCACTAGGAGGGGAATGTACTAAAAGGAAGGACCCTTTAGGTTCCTTCTCCTCAGCGGGGAGGTGTGCGGGACCGGTCTGGATGGGCTCCAGCAGGGCCGGGGAGGGGATAAACTTCCCCGCCTCCTCTCGGCTCCATGCGCCGCAGGACAAGCCGCGAGGAATGGTTTGGGCTCCAGCGAGGCCGGGAAGGGATCTGCCCGGTAGCGCTGTCGCCCCGCACCCGCGGCGCCGCGGGAAAACTTTCCCGCCTCCTCTCGGCTCCGCCCGGCTGCCCCTGAGTTCCTGCGGGCAGAATATGCTCCTCGCGCCTCGAGGCAAGAGGAGTGGTTTTGGCTCCAGCGAGGCCGGGGAGGGGATATTTAAAGAGATCTGCCCGGTGGCGCTGTCGCCCCGCACCCGCGGCGCCGCGGGAAAACTTTCCCGCCTCCTCTCGGCTCCGCCCGGCTGCCCCTGAGTTCCTGCGGGCAGAATATGCTCCTCGCGCCTCGAGGCAAGAGGAGTGGTTTTGGCTCCAGCGAGGCCGGGGAGGGGATATTTAAAGAGATCTGCCCGGTGGCGCTGTCGCCCCGCACCCGCGGCGCCGCGGGAAAACTTTCCCGCCTCCTCTCGGCTCCGCCCGGCTGCCCCTGAGTTCCTGCGGGCAGAATATGCTCCTCGCGCCTCGAGGCAAGAGGAGTGGTTTTGGCTCCAGCGAGGCCGGGGAGGGGATATTTAAAGAGATCTGCCCGGTGGCGCTGTCGCCCCGCACCCGCGGCGCCGCGGGAAAACTTTCCCGCCTCCTCTCGGCTCCGCCCGGCTGCCCCTGAGTTCCTGCGGGCAGAATATGCTCCTCGCGCCTCGAGG